GATATATTATGCTGAAAATTGATCAAAGAAAAGATTTAAGTACGGTTTATTTGATAAACTGATGCAATGTAAAACGGCTTGTGAAAGATCTGCGTAAAAAAATTCAATACACTCTAATATTGATAATTAGAAACATTTTTACCATGGCCCAATTTCGTAAGACATTAATTTCTGTTAAAAATAGAAGGAAAAGTAAAACTTGTGTGATGCGGGCACCAGATTTTTTTTTACTTTCACTTAAGTTTCTTTTTTTTCTCTCTTTCCCATCATTCTGGCACCGGGATTTGAACTCGTTATCTTACATACGAAATTAAATAGCTATAACTTCATAATAGCTAGTATTTTGTCCGAAATAAACGAACCAATGGTTGAAAATTTTTCGGACTCAGGGGACTCAGGGAAACGAGGTAGATCCTTCGAAAACTATACATCGAAAATTTGACTCGATCGCAATACTTTCCTTACCTAATATAGGTAGCAAAGTAATAATTTATTATATTTTAAGTATCCTCAAACTTTTACTGGTGATCATGTATGTTGAGTATAAATTGTCAAAAACTCAAAACCAAAAAGGTTAAAATAAAATTAACATGCTATTTTAAGGTGCAGTTACACGATTTACGGTTTTAACCAAGATTCAGTTATTTGAGCTTAATGTACCAGTAACAGCTGAGCTCTGTTATCATCACTTTCGGTGGTTGGTAAAAAGTTAACTATAAACCGAGGATATAGAAATGATGTAGGAGGTAACTAATAGGGTTTCCTTTTTTTTTTTTTTTTTTTTGTGTTTCTGAGCTTCTCAACATAAAGTGTTTGCTTTCGTTTAATGAAAGTCAAAGTAAAATTAATTATAAAAAATATATATCCAAATCTATAAAAAAATTCATCATCAGACCAATGGAAAAAATGATTCATCCGAGGACGATATACTTGTTTCTCCATTAGTGAAGATGCAATTAAATCGAGAAAATCCTCGTCATCTGTGAGGTCGTCAAAATCTAGCATATCCATTTTTGCAAGAGAAAATATAAATAAAAATGATTAACAGATCGATACAACAAAAACATCGCGGAAGATTATTATAGTTGCAAGGGCTAGCTAATAGCTAACTATTTCCTTCTACGTAAAGCTTAAGGGTTCCCGGTCGACGGATCGAGATTAGACTCGATTGCGAAGCTGAACATATTTTTACGACGGGCGAAACTTTGAAAAATATTTGAGAGAAAAATCCTCCGCACGATACCCGGAGTGATTTGGGATCAGAGCACTAGCACATAGAGAAGAAAGACCGATAAAGAACTGCTTACAGAAACAGGTTAATCAATATCCCATGATATGAAGGCACGGAGATTAAGACAGGCGGGGCATTTGGCTCGTAGCAATCCATCTGGAAGCCTCAACCACGTGGAAGCCCAAAAAGCAGATGGATAGATAGAATCAACAGAGCTGCGTGCAGATAAATGGAAAGAAACAGCCCAAGACATGCAGAGATGGAACAGACTTGTTAAGGCGTCAAAATGTTCTGTAATGCCAATAGTAAAAAACATTAATTATAAAAAATCTCATACAGAAATTGGGAAATTGTACCAATTTTAAGAGAATGTATCTTAGTTTTCTCCTTTTCTTCCTCCTTCCCGTCACTCTATTTTCCATATCTCCATCTCTTTTTTGTATATATTGATACATTTGGTCTTTCATCTTCTTTAAATGATTTTAACTTTTTTATTTTCTTATACATATTCAGTATTTTTGATAGATTTTACAATATCTTAATTTTCTATTCATATCTATTATTTCCTTATATAACGTCATATTTCTTCTCTCTGTTTTACATTTTATTCTAAGATTAATGCTTTGTTGTCGTTGTTATAATTACCTACTTTATGTTCGCTCTATCTATTTAATGTTACTTTAAGTTTTTTAGCCTATACCTTTCACCTTTTTTAATTTTAATTATTCAATGTTGATAGTTTCTTATACCTATTGTTATCTGGTTCTTTTCTTAGTCCTGATGAAGGCCTTAACTTCGGCGAATGTGAAAATAAATACAATTATTTATTTTGACTATTTTTTATTTTGCCTGATCACCCAACCATCCTTCTATTCAACTAAGATAATGTACTTCCTTATCCACTGAAACATCTTGTGGATTGGTGGAGAAATTCCTAGGATACTTAAACTTAGTTTAGTTGTCGGGTTCCTAACACAACTCAAGACTCTTTCGGTGGTTGACAAGCAGCGATACATGGGATGAAATATATTTGTCTAAATCCGTAATATTTAAACTTAGTTTAGTTGTCGGGTTCCTAACACAACTCAAGACTCTTTCGGTGGTTGACATGAAGCGATACATGGGATGAAATATATTTGTCTAGATCCGTAATATTTAAACTTAGTTTAGTTGTCGGGTTCCTAACACAACTCAAGACTCTTTCGGAGGTTGACATGCAGCGATACATGGGATGAAATATATTTGTCTAGATCCGTAATATTTAAACTTAGTTTAGTTGTCGGGTTCCTAACACAACTCAAGACTCTTTCGGAGGTTGACATGCAGCGATACATGGGATGAAATATATTTGTCTAGATCCGTAATATTTAAACTTAGTTTAGTTGTCCGGTTCCTAACACAACTCAAGACTCTTTCGGAGGTTGACATGCAGCGATACATGGGATGAAATATATTTGTCTAAATCCGTAATATTTAAACTTAGTTTAGTTGTCGGGTTCGTAACACAACTCAAGACTCTTTCGGAGGTTGACATGCAGCGATACATGGGATGAAATATATTTGTCTAGATCCGTAATATTTAAACTTAGTTTAGTTGTCCGGTTCCTAACACAACTCAAGACTCTTTCGGAGGTTGACATGCAGCGATACATGGGATGAAATATATTTGTCTAAATCCGTAATATTTAAACTTAGTTTAGTTGTCGGGTTCGTAACACAACTCAAGACTCTTTCGGAGGTTGACATGCAGCGATACATGGGATGAAATATATTTGTCTAAATCCGTAATATTTAAACTTTGTTTAGTTGTCGGGTTCGTAACACAACTCAAGACTCTTTCGGAGGTTGACAAGCAGTGATACATGGGATGAAATATATTTGTCTAGATCCGTAATATTTAAACTTAGTTTAGTTGTCGGGTTCCTAACACAACTCAAGACTCTTTCGGTGGTTGACATGCAGCGATACATGGGATGAAATATATTTGTCTAGATCCGTAATATTTAAACTTAGTTTAGTTGTCGGGTTCCTAACACAACTCAAGACTCTTTCGGAGGTTGACAAGCAGTGATACATGGGATGAAATATATTTGTCTAGATCCGTAATATTTAAACTTAGTTTAGTTGTCCGGTTCCTAACACAACTCAAGACTCTTTCGGAGGTTGACATGCAGCGATACATGGGATGAAATATATTTGTCTAAATCCGTAATATTTAAACTTAGTTTAGTTGTCGGGTTCGTAACACAACTCAAGACTCTTTCGGAGGTTGACATGCAGCGATACATGGGATGAAATATATTTGTCTAAATCCGTAATATTTAAACTTAGTTTAGTTGTCGGGTTCGTAACACAACTCAAGACTCTTTCGGAGGTTGACAAGCAGTGATACATGGGATGAAATATATTTGTCTAGATCCGTAATATTTAAACTTAGTTTAGTTGTCCGGTTCCTAACACAACTCAAGACTCTTTCGCTGGTTGACAAGCAGCGATACATGGGATGAAATATATTTGTCTAGATCCGTAATATTTAAACTTAGTTTAGTTGTCCGGTTCCTAACACAACTCAAGACTCTTTCGGTGGTTGACATGCAGCGATACATGGGATGAAATATATTTGTCTAAATCCGTAATATTTAAACTTAGTTTAGTTGTCGGGTTCCTAACACAACTCAAGACTCTTTCGGTGGTTGACAAGCAGCGATACATGGGATGAAATATATTTATCAAGAGTCGTAATGTGTAGTGAAAGGAAAACTACGCCAAGTTTAAATATTCGCAGATGTCAATTTCTCTATCAATCTAACAAAATGATTCAGTAGATTGAATGTAAATGGAAGTACATTCTCATAGGGTTATTTCTCGATTTTCTAAGTGAGGTTTTGTTTAAAATTAAAATATTTTTGTTTTTTAAGTGGTGGCGAAAGTTTTGTGATGCGTGCAACGCACTAGATGTTTTACTCTACCCTAGATCCATAAATGCCAAAAGATAGATATTATACGAATGATTGATAAACCTGTTTAAATGTCAACTTGTTCTATCTTATTATAAATCAGCTGTTTGATATTCGACTTTTAACATAATCTATTCTCCTATATGATAATGGTTTAATTAAAAGTTATATGCCATACGAACACACAGGCAAAGTATGATAATGTTATAATGTTTGCACAATAACATGTTGACTCGCGTCTTCTTGCACTGACACGCTCTTGCAGTTATATCTGGACTAGCGTAATTATCAGCTGTGCCTCGAGAACTGGGTCGTTCCATCTCTGCCTGCCACTGCTTACGTAATATAGTTCTGCCACAGCCTCCTAGATCTAAATATACGGCGATTATATTTAATAAAATTATTTGTATTTAGATATCGGCTGTTATACTCCTGCGAGAACTCTCTTATTAGCTACCCTTCTCCCTATAATACACCCGCGAAATATTTTTATGTATGTGTACAATATATTTTGTACTGATGCGAGTAATTCTCAGTAAACAAAGGTCAATATAATATAGATAAGTTAGTGCAACATATTATGAGATAGATGAAATCATTTTCTTTTTCTTAGTATAATCACATTATTGCATTCACGATAGTAAACAAAAATGTGTGTGCATTACTATAGGCTCCATATTTGCTAAAATTTGTCTAAAATCTAAAATAGATTTTTTTTTTTTTATTGTAAGAAATTAATTAATCTTTCAAATAATAAAAAAAAGTAATGTTTTGGAATTATTCGCCAGTAAAGTTTCTTTTCTTTCATACAGTTTTTGTCTGTTCAAAATGAAGGTTCATTGGATTTGATGAAGAACAGAAAAAAAAGAAAGAAAAGGCGTGAGCAGCAGAGCTCGGTCATTAAGGTTCTATTTTCCACTTATTTTTAATTTAAAAAAAAAATAGAAAGAGATTAAATTGTTTCATTGGCATTAAATAGAGAAATAAAAGCTTTGTAAATTATTACCAAATTGTTTATTATATTCAAATAGTTCAATGTGTATAGCGAACGATTGTAACTAGCCTAGCACATAGGCAAATATTTATACACAAAAATTAGGAGTTTATAAGGAGTTTCACTTAGAACTCCCGTGAGTGTTCTTGGTGAAACTCATTGCTGAACACATCTCTCTGAAGATGACCTGCAAAGTAGGGTCGAAATGTTGGCTGATAACGAGTTTAGTTGAACTAATAATGGATTAAAATATTTCCAGATACTAAAAATCCTAGAGGTATACTGCAAGCGAGGGAAATGTTCAACATTTCGTCTTCTTTGTAATGAGCTATTCTAAAGTGTACCCTAACCCGATTGAAAAAGATAGTGTCAGATACTAAAAACGTACCTGCATACTGTAAATGAGAGAACTGTTCAGTATTTCATTCTCTTTATAATTAAATGTTATAAATATAAAAATTTATGAATACATTAAAAAAAGCTATTATTTAAAATTTATATTTCATATTATTAATATTCCTTTGGTAATATAACTTCTAAAGCACACACTTTGGTTTTTTTTTTTTTTTTTTTTCATCTAAAGTGCTTATTTTGCCTGTTTTCAAAAGTAACTAAAAGCAATAAGTTAGAAGTAGAGTCTCTAAAAGATTATTTAGTAGAAATAGGATCAAAAAACTACATAGAACATTACATCTTTGTCTTAGGACTGCAAAAACAATTGAACCGAAAATATGATGTAACTCTTTTTCGCCTCCTGAAAAGTTTTAGTTTTTGCTTTAACAGGCTTTTGCAATGTGGCTGCGGATATATTCTTTTACCTAGTTCTGCCATAAAGACCGTTACAAAAGTTGAACTTGTTTACATCCTTGTTTTGTTTTCTTTACATGTCAGGATAATAATCCCAAATAGTTTGGATGTTTCTTTCGCTCAGTTAACATGGGCTGGGGTGATAAAGAAAACAGAATAGATCGCATTGCACTAAGTTGGAAAATGTAGGCCAGAGAATTTCAACACTATAAAACTTTTGGGTATCAGCCGTTCGTATATGACTATAAATAGATATAATGAGACCCTATCTGTATGTGACAGATCTCGACCGGACCGTCCCCGCACTGTGAGAACGGCAAATGCAGTGAGAGCAGTGACTGCTCGATTCAAAATAAATCCCATTCGAAAAAAACAAATCATGTCTCGGGAAATGGGAATCTCTGCCAGATCAATGTCTCGCATTATAAAAAGTGACCTTAGTGAAAGTGGGTCCATTTCGAAGAATGACAGGACAAAGGCTAACCACTTCCCTGAAAAAAAATTAGAGTGGATAGATGCAAAGTGCTCCTTGGCCGTTACACCAATGGTCTTCATCGAAATATTTTGTTTAGCGATGAGAAACTTTTTAGAATTGAAGAAAAATTTAATCGCCAAAATAATCGTGTGTACGAACCCAGCACTAAAGAAGCTCAGGAAGTCATTAGAAGAGTGGAAAGAGGGGGGGGGGATTTGCTAAGATGGCACCACAAAGCTCCATTTTTGTGAAAAAGGAGTTAAAACAGCAGCTAAAAACTACCGGGACGATATTTTGGAACCTTTTGTCAAGCCTCTAAATGATACTCTGTTTGCTGGAAGCCATTGGGTTTTCCAGCAGGATTCCGCTCCAGCTCACAAGGGCAGGTCAACTTAGTATCAGCTGCAAAAGAACATTCCACAGTTCATCTCTGCCTCGGATTGGCCCTCAGTCCCTGATCTTAACCCACTAGATTATCGGCTTTGGCCTGAAATGGAGAGGATGGCACATCTTAACTTGGAAAGCCTCAAACAATCTCTGGTCCGAGCAGTTGAGCGCTTTCCTCAAGAAGTGCTGCGTGCTGCAATTGATGACTGGTCACTAAGATTAAATGCCTATGTCAAGGAAAAAGGGGAACATTTTGAGTAATTTCTCTTTTGTTTTACTCTCTATAGATATACATTTTATTTTCTAATAAAGGTTTTGAAAAAAAAAGTAAGTTTTCTGTTGAAATCTGTATATATTTCCTTGTAACAATATTTATGACAGGACTGGATATTTAGTGTGCCTGTTTTTTTATACAAAGATAATTGGAACGAGTGTTCCGACCGCCATTTGCTCTAATTTTGTCTTAAGTAAGCTGTTTCTTCATGAAGATAATCTTCATTTGGAAGTTAAGATTTAATCTCATTGCATTTTTGTGTCATGTGCAGGTGCAGCAGAGATAGAGGTTCGTGTGGTTAGCTCGAGGTGATTGTTCGCTGTTGACTAATTCGACCATTGTTCTCTTCCAGTGGCTCACCGCAACTCTCTGGAGAAAATGGCGAGAAATAATTAGAGAACTAGCGGGGCCATTGTGAAACGGTTCCTCTCTCAGGCAACATACGGCTGATACAGTTCCTTATTGTGAAACGGTTCCTCTCTCAGGCAACATACGGCTGATACAGTTCCTTATTGGAGTTACTGAGAATATCGATATTATTGTCGAATATACTCTTACAGGATGTAAAAACTATGTAGAGATAAATACTGAAAGGCTAAAAAAAAAAGTATAACATTTCCAAGTCAAATTTAGAATTTTCCAAACCGAATTGGGATTAATACAATCAAATTTAGAGCTTTCCAAATCAAATTGGGATTTTTCCGAATCAAATTTAGAATTTTCCATTTCAATTTAAGAATTTTTATAACACCAAATGTTATAGGGTATTGTTGTTTTTTATTATAATTCCTTAGACATAGTACCTAGAATGAATATTAAGGTTAGGCATTTGAAGTTTTTAAACTCTAATTTTAGAAATTTTTAAATTAAAGTTTAAATGAATTTTCTTGGACAAACGATTAACTTGGAATCCTCATACTAGACTGAATCGACAAGAAACCGCTCGACGTTTCCGATTACTTCAGCACTTACTATACAAACGCTCTAATCTTCCAATTAATTACAAAAGACTCATATAGTTGACTATAATAAGGCCTATTTGGACTTACGGAGTTGAGCTATGGGGCTCCACTAAACCATCAAATTCCTCTCGTATCCAATCCTTACAATCCAAAATCCTTCGTAAAATCCTCAATGCTCCCTACTTTGTTACAAATAAAACCATCCATAATGACCTTAATGTCCCTTTTGTTTCAGATCTGGCCCAATCCATATACCTATCCTTCCATAATAAACTTCAGAATCATCCCAACCCTCTCGTTTCTAACTTTGCTTCCTCTTCGATCCCTGATAACCCTCCGAGGCGTCTGAAAAGAAGATGGTCCCGTGATCTCCTAATGTAAACATATCATTAGAGTGCTACCATTGGGTAGTTACTCAGCAAGTGTTTTTCATGTCATTATATACATTATGTTCTAATTTACTAGATGTATTTATTTAATACAGTTGTAAATGTCTTTAAGAAATAAAATAACAAAAAAAAAATGAATTTTCTGTGAGTAAAAATCAAAATGTGTAACTTTTGTAACAAGCCGGACATATATTTATTTCTAAAGCACATGTAGCACTACTTAATGAAATTATTCATTGTTAAATTGAGAATGAGGCCATTATCATATTTGCTATGTTCATTTTTAGACAGCCTCCGGACATGAACGCGAAACATCCGATAATACTAAGCGAAGAAGGCTCATTTTACAAAGTTATTAATAAACCATTACGAATGTGTGCCCATAGACAAAACTATACACATTTCGAATCAATCAGGAGATAGCAATGGTGATAATTCCGTTACAGGACGCATAAGGTCTCCTTTAATTAAGTTTTACTTCACAGATAGCCCAGGAGCCAGAGCCCAAAAATCGACCTGATCGCAGGCCAAGATTTGATTGTAAATTACGAAAGTGTGTGTTATTCTGAGTAAAAAGAACCTTGTCTGCCGTTCCAGAGCCGCTGCTTTAAAAAATGGCGGCTGATTTAAAGAATATTAGGCCAATAATTTGAGGATCGGAACGGGAAATCCATTGCGAAAAATGTGCGAAAAGTTTTAATTTTTTCAACTTATATACATGGGTTTGACATGTAAAAAACAAAATTGCTAACGCGGGCAACCAACGTAAAACTTTTTACAGCCAAAAAAGTCAGATTTTTTCCATATTGTTTGGGGTTTTCGCCTATAACTCCTAAACGATGCATCAATCAAAGCGAAAAATGATTGATTGTTAAAATAAATTAAAGAAAGTTAAATTTTGCGTCAAACGAGTACATAAACTTTAAAATTTGTTACGTGGTAATGTTTAAAACCACGGTCAACACTGATTTTTACCAAATTTTTCAAAAACTGAGACAAATGACTATAAATGGCCCTGCAACATGGAAATGAGTTCGTGAAGAGGAAAAATCCATAAAATCAAAGTTGTAGAGCATCAAATTGTGGGTCCAGTGAGTAAAAACTAATTTAACGTACGTCACTTACTCCAAACAAAATCGGTAATCTCCCGATGGTTAGAAATTGGTAATGAAGGTAAACGTGATTTTCAATATTTCAACAGTATGCGTGTCTATTCTACTGAGTTAGTTTCGTTTAAAGTCTGTTACGTGCAGTATAAACCTCTTTTCCAAATCTCAGCAGCGAAGGATTTTGGTAAACAATGTGCCGAAAGATATAGAATTTCATAAAGAAATAACGAATCTCGATTCGAGATATATAATTGACCTAAAAGGAAAATGTTAGTACTGAGCAGACGCAAAACTTGATGCTCTACAACTTTGATTCTATGGGGTTTTCCTCTTAGTGAACTCATTTCCATGTTACAGAGCCATTTATAGTAATTTGTCTCAGTTTTTGACAAATTTGGTAAAAATCAGCGTTGGTTGACCGTGGTTTTATAATTACGTTCCTTAATTTATTAAAGGATACATTTTTCGCTTTGATGCATCGTTTAGAAGTTATAGGTGAAAAGCCCAAACATTATCGAAAAAAGCTGACTTTTTTGGCTGTAAAAAGTTTTCCCTTGGTGCCCCGCATTAGCAATTTTTTTTTTACATGCCTCAACTCATATATACAAGTTAAAAAAATAGACTTAAAAATAAACTATGACTGTGCCCCATGACGACTTGGAAGGACTTTTATTACTCCCCTAGGCCACTGTAGTGGGGGCATGTTAGATTTCCTTTACAACACTAAACCAAATATTAAGGTTCAATATTCTTCAGTCTATTCCAAGTTCTATAGTGGTTTATTGATAATTTTGTGAAGTGAGCCTTTTGGGATATTATTATCGGACGTCTTGCATTTATAGGATAAAGAACAAAGGACTCTTTTTTAAACGACCGCTCACCCTGAGTGTCCGGAGCAGGGGGCCATCAGGATTTCTGGGGAGGGGCACATTAAGTTTTCAATTTTAAGAGAATATTTAAACCAGGAAGTAAAGAAAAAAATCTGGTGCTCGCAACACACAACTTTCACTTACCGCTCTACTTTGAATAGAAATTATTTTCTGGCAATGCTGGAGTATTATACAATTTTTTGAACGGACAATTTTTTGTGCATTTTAAACGGACCTAAAGCTTAAAACATACTGAGAACAATTCACTAAGATTATTATAATTACAAAATGTCTATTTAATATATCAACGACAGGCAATCAAAATCTAGTCACTCCATCTGCTTTTATAAACCACACAACTTTCTTTGCTTTTATAAACAACAGAATGACTAACTCCAATTTCAACATTTTTAAGTAATGTCATTTTAGTGATATTTTTAGTTGAAAAAGTTATCTATGCAGACAGAGAGTAAGTTGATTCCGGAGGTGGTGATTGCAGTATTGAAATATTGAACTGAGAATAAAGGTATAAATTCAGGTACTTATTTCTTATGAAAGATGTTCTTAGGAAAGACTCTTTATTAAATATCTATAGAAAAGAGGTTTTTTAAGTCTCAACAATTAACAAAATATATTTTAAATTTATCCAAATTTTTGCCTCTTCAGGGAAAAAAACTAGAGACCATATCTTCATTCCTAATTGTCCGATTTTAACGATTTTTTTGTTTTTTTATGAAATTCCATAAACTTTAAAAAAAAAACATATACAATATTGACAAAAAGTGTATATTTTTTGAGTTATTTGGAATTTAATTTTACCATCCCTCTTAACTTTTTTTCCTGCTTCTTTTCGTTGAAATATGTTATATAGATTATAGCATTTCCAAGTCGAATTCAACTTTTTCCAAATCAAATTAAACCTTTACCATTTCAAATTCAACCTTTTTTTAATTATTTAATTATCTTTAATTTTTCGATGTGTGGGTCTGTTATTGTATGAGTAGTTTTTGAAAATAACCTCCATTTTATGATTACGTGAATGCGTTTTGACTTAGTTAAGTTCTTAGAATTTATCCAATATAAAGGTCTACTGTTATGTTTCCGGAGCCGTAGATTTTGAAAACGACCTCCATTTTAAGATTAAGCCATCGCGTTTCGACTTATTTGAGTTTTTTTTCATATGAGGGTGTATTCTTATGTTTCCGGAGCCATATATTTTGAAAATGGCCTCCACTTTAAGATTACGCCCCTGCGTTTAGACTTATTTAAGTTTTTTCGATTTATTCGATGTAAGGGTGTTATTTTTATGTTTCTGCAGCTGTAGATTTTGAAAATGACCTCCATTTTATAATTACGCCGCTGCGTTTTGACTTATTTAAGTTTTTCGAATTTATCCAATATAAAGGTCTACCTTTATGTTTCTTGAGCCGTAGATTTTGAAAATGACCTCTATTTTATGATTATACCACTGCGTTTCAACTTATTTAAGTTTTTCGAATTTATCAAATATAAAGGTCTACTTTTATGTTTCTGGAGCAGTAGATTTCCCCCATTTCAAGTTTATGCCACGGTGTTTTGGATTATAAAAGTTTTTTTTTTTACTTTTTCGGTCTAAGGATCTACTTATATATTATCGGAGACTTATTGAATTTTTTCTAATCTCTAATATTTAAATTTTTAAATTTAAATTTTATATTTAAATTAAATATTTAATTACGCTTCATTTTGGATTTTTTCAATACAAAGTTTCATCAATATGTTTTTGAGTATAAATAAATAAATATAATGAAGTTAAAGTTAAATTAACCACAGAATACAAACTAAAAAGCCGAAAAGCAACGGGTAATAAATTTAACCTACCGTATTCAGATTTTTCAGCTAATTGTTCGAAATCTTATAATTTTGTTACAGGAGACCACAACATTAAAAAAGATAACTAAAATTAAATTAAAAATGAGACAATATATATTTTATTTATTTCGATTAGATATTTTCATTTATTTATTGAAAAATAAATTAATCCTTCGTATTTTGTTTTTTATTCGAAGGAAAAAGCAATAACACTTAAAAAACCGAAACACAGTGCCCTAATCTTAAAATGTAAGTCGTTTTAAAAACTAAGGCTCCGGCATCATAAAAGTAGACCTGTAAATTGGATAAATTCGAAAAACTTGAATAATTCGAAACACAGTGGCGTAATCTTAAAATCTTAAATTAAAAATAAAACAAATTCAAAATCTACTACTCCGGAAACATAAGAATACACTA